CCCCCCCCGCCACTGCCTCCTATTCTCCCCTCTTCACTTCTCTCCGCGCAGAATTTATTTCCGTTCCTCTGCCTACATGCTCTTCCTCTTGATTTTTTGCGTGGATGCTTCTTTCTTGTCTTTCCAATTTCAGTAAAAATGTCACCTTCTCCTTCCCCCACCACTCATTCTGTGGAAAAGTTGCTTCCACCCCTCTGCTGTTTATTTTATTACCTTTTAAAATGCTCTGCAAAGCACTTATCGTGATCTTTTACTTTTGTTTGTTTTCTGTTTCCTGCTGGGATATAAACTTTGTCTCCTTCTGTCTTGTTTGCCAAAACCCTGGTGCGTCAGGTCACGGGCTCTCCGTACAGGTGTGTTTGGAACGCAGAGTGCGGTGATAGCCGCCCTGCTGGGCTGCCCCTGGGACGGGCTGACGCTCAGACTTTGGGCCTGAGAGAGAGGTTTTACTCTTTGCTGTTGTTCCTTGGAAGGTGGGTGTAAATAACCTGTATGTGACGTAAGTGAAGTTCCGGGAGGTTTGGAGCACGCTTTCACGATTAAGAGTCCACTTCGGCCGTTAAGCTCTTCTGTCCAGAGGGTGGGTGGGTGGCTGGGTGGGTGATGGGAAGCCCTGGGGAAAGCACAGGGAGCCCTGGCAGCATCTGGCCAACGCTTTGCACTAGAAATTTTTAAATCGTGGAACTTGTGAAAAATAATAGTGCAAAAGTTGCATTCACTTGAACCCTTCCAGTACCTGAATCTTGAGTGGACGCCCGCTGGAGCGCAGGCTCCGTGAGAGAAGACTGTGTGCCTCTTCTGTTCTCCACTGAGGCCGGCCCCCACATTTTTGAGCAAATACTTCCATTCGGCCTCTTCCTTCTGTGTCCACCAGAGGGCGAGAGTTGCTTCCAAGACAGCTCCCAGCAGGCAGCCAGGAGCCCCGCCCTCTAGCCTGGGCAGAAGCCACCTCCCTGGGCTCTAGGGTCATCATTCGCATGGTGGTCTGTTTACTGAGGGCTAACTACTTGCCAGGCTCTGAGTAAATAATAACAGCCAACACTTCGATGATGCTTATTGTACTTACTGGTCACAGTGCTTGGAGTACTGGTCTAAGTGCTTTATATAGATCAACTCATTTAATCCAACAGCCAACCCTTGAGGTATTATGCTTATTTTACAGAGAAGGAAAATGGGGCCCAGAGAGGTTAAGCAGCTTGCTCAAGGTCACACGGTTTGTTGGTGGTAGAACCAGGATTCAGACCTGTCTCTGCCGAGTCTGTGCCTTTGACCAGAATGCTATGCTGCTTCTTACTCAGCATGATGGCTGACACCAAGTAAGCGCTTGATAAATGTTTTTTACAATTATTAGCAACGCACATTCTTATAACAGCCTGAGGTAGATACTATTATTATTTCTGTTGTCATTTATTAATAGTTAATCATTTTATTATTCTTTTTTTTTTTTTTTGCGGTATGCGGGCCTCTCACTGTTGTGGCCTCTCCCGTTGCGGAGCACAGGCTCCGGACGCGCAGGCCCAGCAGCCATGGCTCACAGGCCCAGCTGCTCCGCGTCACGTGGGATCCTCCCGGATCGGGGCACGAACCCGTGTCCCCTGCATCGGCAGGCGGACTCTCAACCACTGCGCCACCAGGGAAGCCCTTATTATTCTTTTAAAATGAGGCACAGGGAGGATTAACTCACTTTCCCAAGATCCCATAGTTAGAAAATCACAGAAATAGGTTTCAGACTAATCCTGTCTGACTCTGGCACCTGAGCTTTTATAGAGAGGACATGCTTTTTATGCCGCCGTTTCATGCCACCATTTCATGCCTGCTGCATTAGCAAATTACTTTCTTCTTTTCATGAGAATGTCCCAATGGGCATTTTGTGGTGATATTGGTACCCGGTTGCCATGTGCCTTGATACACGTCCTGTTTGAACTACCATCAGGAAGTGGGCAAAAGAGCCAGAGTGGTGCTCACTCTTGCCAGCATCACCTCCCGAGCGCTGGTCAAGGAGAGATTTTCCAAGAGATGCAGCTGGGGTCAGGCTGAGCCTAGGAGGCCGAGGGTGTGGGGTCCTAGGAGTCAACAGCTTGCAGCATTTGAAAACTCCATTTTATCTGTTGACTCAGGTGTGGTCAGACCTGAGGAATTTATAGATTCGTTCCTTTGTTGTGGCCTGGGAAGCCTCTGCTGCCCTGCCTCC